GGTACCAGTCACTGGAGAAGGATATCATATTTGGTAAGGTGGAGGGTCAGAGAAAAAGAGAAAGACCCCCAGCGAGATGGATTGGCTAAGTGTCAACATCAGTGGACTTAAGTGTGGCAACAATAGTGAGGTTGGCCCAGGATCAAGCAGTGTTTCGTTCTGCTGTGCATAAGGTCACTATGAGTCGGCACTGACTTGATAGCACCTGAGAACAACAACAGTAACAAATACGCATGTGAAAGTTGGACAGTGAATAAGGAAGATCATAGAAGAATTGATGCATACGAGTTTTAGTGTTGGAGAAGAATATTGAAAGTACCATGGACTGCCAAAAGAACAAACAATTCTGTACTGGATGAAGTACAGACTGAATGCTCCTTAGAAGCCAGGATGACAATGGCAAGACTATCTCATACACTATCAGGAGAGCCCAGTCCTTAGAGAAAGATATTATTCTTGGTAAAGTGGAGAAAAAGAGGAAGACCCCTCCCCTCCAACAGATGGATTGGCACAATGGCGGCAGCAGTGGGCTCAAGTGTAACAACCTTTGTGAGGAATGTGCAATGCTGGGCAATGTTTCATTCTGTTGTGCATAGGGCCACCATGAGTCAGACCCAACTCAACAGCAACTGACAACTAGACCCATTTGCCTATTTTAAGCAGACTTAGTCTGAATATTTTGGAATTTCATTAAGCGATTCTGATCTCATTAACTAACTCTCTTTTCTGAGTAATAGATTATGAGACAGCACAAGTAGAAACACACCAGTGAAGAGGTTATTGTAGTAATTTAGGTGAGAGCGTAATGGTACACTAGACTGAGGTTGCAGTGGTAGTGGCATTCACAAATGATCTGGGGTTGATGGTAGAGCCCATTGAATGTGCTTGTTGGATGTGCCATGTAAGTGAGACTGCCACAGAGTGAAACAGTTAGGAGAGTTCCCTATTTGGGGCTTAAGCAAATGGATCAGTGGTGATGCCATTTAATTGTGATGCCATTGATGTTTTTGCTAAGTGCCATCGAGTTGGTTCTGATTCAAAACGACCCTGTGGAGGATTTCCGAGACTAAATCTTTACAGGAGCTGAAAACGTCATCTTTCTCCCATGGAATGACTAATAGATTCAAACTGCTGACCTCCAGGTTTGCAACCCATCGCGTAACCTATTATACTACAAGAGGTCCTATGCTATTTGTAGACTATCCAAACTATAATAGACCAAGGTTATTTTAAACTTTGGAGTCCTGCTGCGGCGCTGTGGGCTAATGCGTCAGACTGCAAAGTTGTTTGAACTGCAAGGTCAGTGGTTCAAGCTCACCAGCTACTCCTTGGAAACCCTATATAGGGTCGCTGTGGGTCGGAATTGACTCAATGGCATTTCACAACAACAACATATTTTAAACTTTAAATGTATGTCTGCCAAGTAGCATGTTCAATATAAAGTAAGTGGTGGTGTTGTTGTTATGTGCTGTTGAGTTGGTTCTGACCCATAGTGACCCTGTAAAGGGTTTCCAAGGAGCAGCTGGTGAGCTTGAACTGCCAACCTTGTGGTTCAGAAGTTTGAAACAGTCTAAGTGCACTAACCCACAGCGCCACACCAGGACTCCATATAAAGTATTTAGTTATTCCATAATATGCGTATAAGATTTTACTGATTCCGTAATATGCGTAAAAGAATTAACTGGCTACTTCTCTTTTCTGAAAGAAAGTTTCGGGAGAAACTTTGCTCTATTTTATGCATGTTTGATATAGTTGATATATATAGTTAGGAGCATGTACTGTAGAACAAGATCTAACAACACATTGGATTCTTTCAGTTTTAAATGGCTATTCATTTTTTGATAGTTTGAAGCTTTCGGGGGGAATTTTTTTGAGTTTTTTAATATGAATATTTATTGTTGTTATTAAGTGCCATTGAGTCAGTTCTGACCCATAGTGACCCAGAATAGGGTTTCTAAGGAACAACTGGTGAGTTTGAACCACCAACCTTGTGTTTCAAACTGACCTTGCTTGCGGTCCTGCACTTATCTTATTATGCCACACCAGGAGTCCAATATTCATCTTGTTGTTGTTGTTAACTGCCGTCGAGTTGGTTCCAACTCACAGTGACCCTGTATAGGGTTTCCGAGGAGTGACTGGTGGGTTAGAATCACTGACCTTGCGGTCCAGCTTATTACCCTGCAGCACCACACCAGGACCCAGTATTGATCTTATGAAGTTTTAATGGAAATGGTCTTTGATCACAGTTTCTCAGCTACCTCTATGCTGTCTTATATATTAGTTGAAAAGGAACATTCTCATGCATTGAGGTAATTTCCCTATAAGAGTCCTTGTGTGACACTTTAGGCTAAGCACTGGACTGCTAACCATAAGGTCAGTGGTTCAAACCCAGCAGGTGCTCCTTGGAAATCCTATACAGGGTTGCTGTGATTCCGAATTGACTCGATGACACTTAACAACAGCAACTTGGCTCAGTATGTTTCTAGTCTTGAGAATCAGGTTATCAACAAATCTCTAGTTTTTGCCTGCTGACATCATTTTTGTTTTAGTAGAGATTTTATCAGTATGTTGGTGCATATTTCCAATCTTGGTTTCTGTTCAAATTTAGGAACTAGCTTATTGATAGAAAGAATATTGGAGATAGGCATTAGAAGGGAGTTGAATGCTAGTCTAACTGTGTGACCTTAGGCAAGTCATGAGCTTCATCAACCAAATGTTTTCATCTATAAAATGTGTAAGGTTGAATTAGAAGATTATTAAATATATTTTTAAACCTAAAATTATGATTTAAAAATGTTGGTTTTGTAAAGATTTTGGCTTAGTAGAACCACAGTAATATTAGGAACAACTTGCCTGCCTCACAAAATGTTCTTAAATCTGAGTCAATATTATCCATGTCAGAGTTCAACATGTGGTTATTTCTCTTGTCTTAATAACAGCTTTATTGAAATGGAGGTCACATCTGTTTTGTCCTTTTAAGGTGTACACTTTAGGGATTTTTAGTATGTTCATAGAGTTGTGTATCCATCAGCAGCATCAACTTTGGAACATCTTTACTACTCCAAAAAGAAAATACCCATTAGCAGTCATTTTCTGTTCCGTTCATTCCCCCCACCCTCAGCCCTAGGTAACTAACCACTGTTGTGTGCCATCAAATCAGTCCCAACTCATAGCAACCCTTTAGGCCAGACTAGAACTGCCCTGTAGGATTTCCTAAGCTATGGTCACCAGGTCTTTCCTCCCTCAGAGCTGTTGGTGGGTTCCAACCTCTGACCTTTCAATTAGCAGCCAAGTGTTTAACTGTTACACCATGTGGACTCCTTAGAAACCACTGTTGCTGTGTGCCATCTGATTCTGACGCACAGCGACTCTATATAGCCTCTGAGGCTGTAGATCTGTATGGAAACAGAAAGCCTCATCTTTCTCCAGTGGAGCAGCATTTGGATTCTGACTATTAACCTTGAAGTTAGCAGCCCAATGCATAAGTCACATGCCACCAGGAATCCTGGGATCATACAACTCGTGATTTTTTGTGTCTTGGCTTCTGTCACATAGCATAATATTTTCAAGGTTCATTCATGTTGTAGTTTGTATCAGCACATCATTGCCGTTTATTGCCGAACAGGATTGCATTGTGTGGATATATCAGCCACCAGGGAAATGCAAATCAGTACCACATTTTACTTATGTATTCATCAATTGGTAGACATTTGTGTTGTTTCCCTTTTTGAACATTTATATACATGTTTTCTGTGGGCATTGTTTTTATTTCCATCGCATGTATGCCTAGGAGTGGAATTGTTCAGGCCCTATGTTTATTATGTTCAACTTTTTGAGGCCCTTCCATACTCTTTTCCAAAGTGGCTTATACCATTTTACATTTCACCAGAAGTGTCTGAGGTTCTCAATTTCTCTACGTTTTTGCTGACACTTCTTAACTATCAGTTTCCTGAATTATAACCACACTATACAGGGTCGCTATGATTCAGAACCTCGAAGGGACTTAACAACAAGTAGGTGTGAGTCTTCATGGACTCCACCCTAGTGGATCAAGATCTGGTGGGTGTGAAGTGATACCTCATTATAGTTTTGATTTGCATTTCCCTGGTGGCTGATGATGTTGCATGTCTTTTCATGTGCTTATTAATTAAGGCCATCTTTCTTGGCAGGTTTTTCATTTGGGATAGGGTGGGATGTGGTCGAAAGTCATACCACTTTGTTCTTTCCCTAAAGTTTCAAGTAAGCACTTAAAATATCAGTCAAGTAAGTAGTCTCTTCTCACACCTGGTAGAGAGAAAGTCTTTTATTTAATAATCCACACACTTGTTTTTACTTTATTTCTGTAAAATGTAATAAAGTATTTTACTGAAAATAAGTATGATTTGAGGAACAGAACTTTCATTGATATATCTTTAGCACAAAATCTTGCCAGTTAGTTCAGTCTCTCAAATGTTTATGAATCGGGCTATAACACAGAAAGTGGTATCATAGTCACAAGGATTAGACAAAGCATGTCTGCTCATCTGGAAGAAATTTTTAATGCATTTATAGTAGCTCTATTTTCCTTACATCACCAAGGTTTTGTGAATTGATATAGAATGCATACGCTTTCAAGACAAATATTTAATTAGGTTATATAGTATAGTAGTTACGAGTTGGGTTTCTAACTTCCAGGGCAGCAGTTTGAAACTACTAGTGGTTCTGCAGGAAAACGATGAGGCTTATATGCTCCCATAAAGATTTACAGCTTCTGAAACCCTATATAGGGTTGCTATGAGTCGGAATTGACTCCATGGCACACCACCACCGCCATATAGCCTAAAGTGGATTAATTTGAAATGATACTCTCACTAGTAGGAACTTAAATTATTAAATTGAGAATAAATACTTGGTTCTAGTAGAGCTTTTTCTCTAGAAGATGTTAATTGTTATAATGTGAATTGGTTTTATTAGTTCAGTTAAACTTGTTAACTAATTTCTCTCTTTTTTTCCTATTTCAGAAATACATGCTACAGGATTTAACTATCAGAATGAAGATGAAAAGGTCACCTTGTCTTTTCCTAGTACCCTCCAAACTGGTAAGAGACATAAAATCTTATATAAAATAGTGACATGTTACTTCTTCCAAAGAAATTTATTGAGTACCACTTTTTCCCCATCAATGTTTTTAGATTAAGATAAGATTTTAAAAGAGTCAGGTTCAGTGCAACTTTTGGGCCACCAGAATTTTTTTCTAAGGAAAAGATAGGTTATGGAAAAAATTTTTCCATTTCTTGTCATTCTGTATTGTCTTTAAACAAAACAAACAAACAAAAAAACAGGGCAAAAATGAATAGTTATTCCATCCTAGAACATTGTATTTCAGCTTTTCAGACATTTATGTAACTGTGGAGCAGAGAATTACTTAATATGGCTCTTCTAGCCATGCTTGGTCTGATGACTCCCATAAAATGACGAGGTGGGACTTTGCAAAAAAGAACTCCTGGTATGGTGCTGGAGGATCAGCACTAGACTGCGAACCCCAAGGTCTGCAGTTCAAACCCACCCGCTGCTCCTTGGAAACGTTGCACAAGGTCACTATGAGTTAGAACCGACTCCATGGCACTTAACAGCAAAGGATACACTGGATACACTGCTAATAATGCAAATAATACGTATGAAATCCTAACAAGAGGATTGGTCAGAATATGGAGGGAACCTCACTACCATCAAGAAAAAAGAACCAGGAGTGGAGTGCATCCTTTGGTCTTGCACCTAGAACCTTCTAGACCCAGGAGGTAAGAGGTATAACACCAGAGATGGTAAGAAGTGGAGGCAGAGAAATGGCGGTGGCAGATCCAGAAGACCTTTATAACAGCACAGTTAGCTTCCTGGCCCACGGATCGAGAGAGCTGAGTGTCTTCAGACAGGAGGCTTTCTGGCAGAGTAGGGTATCTCCAGGCACTTACTGGCAAAGCAAAAGAGCTTAGTAACACTTGCCCAAACAGGGCAGAGGTGAGGCTTAGGGCCAAGGGAGACCAAGAGAGAGGCCTGCCTGAGGGCACAGTCTAGAAACTGTTCTGACTGAAAAAAAGTTGTCCTGATTTTGAGCTTTAACCATTACTTCCCTAATAAAACCCATATTTGCGTGTATAGTCTGAATTCTTTTGTGGCCACTGCAATAAATTATTGTCCCTAGCAGAGAAGTAGAGAGTACTATTGGAGGGACAGCTGGTGTCAGAATTGGTAAAAAGGCTACGTTAGCGAAAAGAGCTTTGTTTGACCCATACCTCAGAGGAACCAGCCTTGGGCTGACAATCTTGATTCTGTCTCTCCTCCACTTGTGAAATTGATGAGGAAGTCAGGTGCTGCCATCATGCCATTTCTACATTAGTTCTATCTTCTACTAATTGAATTTAAATCTATAAATCGTGGCACTTACGGATTTATACTTAAAAGGATGCACCACAGATGATTTTGGCACACCACCAGAGGTTCTCCAAACAAACTCTTATTACTTGGAGACTAAAAATCTTTTCGCAAGTATGTTGTTGTTGCTGTTAAGTGCCGTCAGTCAATACTGACTCATAGCAACCCTGTATATGGTTTCTGAGAATGGGCTGGTGGGTTTGAACAGCCTACCTTGCTCTTAGCAGTCCAGTGCGTATCCGGCAGTGCCACACCAAGACTCTACATTATATTAGTCATTAAATTTTCTTTCATGTGAATTATGTGATGCTTTTCATTTGTCCGTTTATTGAGGTCTTAGTGCTTTACATCTCTGAATTTTGTATGATTTCTATTTTCTTCTGTCTCAGAGTATAAGTATTAATTTCTGTTTGGATATCTAACAACAGTAACGGATCGATAAATATATTATCCCATGTCATCACTAGTTTAATACCCATATGATGAACACTGGACTATGAACCGCACAGTCCACAGTTCAAGAAGAGTCCTGGGGGCGGTGGGGGTTGGGGTGGGGCTGCAGGATAATGCCCTGGACTGCAAGGTTGGTTTGAACTGCAAAGTGAATGGTTCAAACTCACAAGTCACTCCTCAGAAACCCTATACTGGGTCGCTATGAGTCAGAACTGACTCAACAGCACCTGACAATAAGAGTAATGAGAGGTATCAAAGTAATAGTTACTAATATGACAGGCTTTTATAAATGGGGAAGAAAAAAAAAGAGTCTGCACTATGTGACTGTCTTGACCTTACTGGTGGAAGACTGTATATCGGTGCCATTTATTTCCTCTTCGTTCTGAGGGCTGCTGTAAGAGAAATACACCAAGTGGGTGCCTTTAATAAGCAGAAAGACGTTTCCTCACAGTGGTGCCATAGTGAAAACACCTGGCTGCTAATGCAGGTTGTTGGTTCAAACCCACCCAACTGCTTCTGGGTAAAGGACCTGACAGTCTGCTCCTGTAAAGATTACTGCTGTTGTGAAACGTCATTGAGTTGGTTCTGACTCATAGTGACCCCATATACAATAGATCCTTTGCCATCCTCACAGTTGTTGCATGTTTGAGCCCATTGTTGCAGCCACTGTTTCAGCTCATGTCATTGAGGATCTTCCCCTTTTTTAGCTGACCTTCTACCAAGCATGATATCCTTCTCCAGGAACTGGTCTCTCATGATATATACAAAGTACATGAGAGGATGTCTTGCCATGCTTGCTTCTAAGGAACATTCTGACTATACTTCTTCCAAGAGTAATTTGTTCCTTCACCCAGCAGTCCATGATATAGTCAATATTCTTCACCAACACTGTATTAATGTGCATCAATTCCACTTCAGTTTTCCTTATTCGTTGTCTAGCTTTCAGATGCATCTGAGGCAATTGAAAAATATGGCTTGAGTCAGGCATTCCTTAGTCCTTAAAGTAACTTCTTTACTTTTGAACACTTTAGAGGTGTTTTGCAGCAGATTGACCTATGTAATATGTCATTTGTTTTGTTGACTGCTGCTTCCATGGGTGTTAAGTGGAGCCAAGAGAAATGAATCCTTGACAACTTCAATCTTTTCTCTGCTTATCATGATGTTATATTGAACAAGTTGTAAGGATCCTTGTTTTCTTTCTTTGGAGGTGTAGTCCATTCTGAAGACTGTAGTCTTTGATCTTCAATAAGTATGTCAAGTCTTCTTCACTTTCAGGAAGCAAGCATATGTCATCTGTATATCATAGGTTGTTAATGAGTCTTCCTCCAGGCCTGATGATGCATTCTTCTTTATAAGGTCCACCTTCTCAGATTATTTGTTTAGCATACATATTGGATAAGATTATAGCCTAGAAAACTGTATGGGGCAGTTCTACTTTGTCTCATATGGTCTTTATGAGTACCTAACAATTACAGGAAGCTAGAAGTCAGAACTTAGGCCACCAGCTATAGGGGAACATTTTCTCTCTTTTTCAGTTCTGGATGAAGGTCCTTGTTTTTCAGCTGCTATTCCGTGGTGAGCTTTTCTTGTGGCGTGACAGCTATATTCTCCTATCTGGCCGTGATTGTTTCTGTGCCTAATCTGCTCTTTTGGTAACTTAAAAGTAATTGGCTTAAAAGATACACCCTACTGATGTGGCCTTATTACAAAACAAATAAAACCTTAGTCCTAAATGTGTAAATGAACAAACCAAACCCCTTGACTGTGAATCTATTCTTGATTCAAAGAATGACCCAAAAGATTTCCAAGACTATAATATTTACAGAAGCAAACTGCCTCATCTTTCTCCCACAGAGTGACTGGTAGATATAAACTAATGACCTTACGTTTTAGCAGCAGTGCAGTTTAACCACTGCCATCTGGTTCCTTTTATCCACAAGTGTTAGGATTAGGATTACAACACATTATTTTGGGGGCACATTTCAGTTTATAACTATTTGGAGGGCAGTCTGGCAATATGTATCAAGAGCCTAAACATGCTCATGTCTTTTGCCCCAACAATTCTGCTAATAGGAATGTATTTTAAGGAAGCATCATAAATACAGAAAATGCTTTGTGCCTAGCAATGTCCACTGAGACATTACTATGGTAGTAAAAAGTTAGGATGAACATAATTATCAGTTGTACCCTGGTAGCGTGCATGTTGCTGTGAAACTGGAAGCCATGGCCACCGGTATTTCAGATACCAACAGACTTACCCATGGTGGACAGATTTCAGCTGGGCTTCCAAACTAAAACAGAGTAGGAAGGAGGAGAAATGGGCTATTTCTGAATGATTAGCCACTGAAAATCTTATGTATAAAAGTGGAACACTGTTCGGTAACACCAGAATATTGTCAAATATTCTACTGGAAGATAAGCCCCTGCTTAAGCCAAGTAGGAACCATCTCTGATTTTCTCTGACCTCACAAGGGGGAAACCAGACTCAAAATCAGCCTAAGGCTGATTGCTATGAAGTGGAAGTCAGACAACCTTCTTTACTCCATTCTGACACCAACCATTCCTCCCACAGCACTCTCCGCTTCACATCTGGGTTTGATAATCCATTGCAATGGCCACACAGAACTCATAACAATACTCACAATTATGTGATTTATTAGGGATGTGAACAGGGTACAATCCAGGATCAGAAAAACTCAAGATGCAGCAGTTCTCCTCTCAGGAATGCCTCTTGTTTGCCGTATTGCAAGCATGCTTCCCTCTTGTCTTCAGCCTCTCAGCCATGTGGCCCCTTAGTCTCTGCCCTGCTAGGGCAAGTGTTACAAAACTCTTTTAGCCAATCTGTAAATGCCCAAAGGGCCCCTTCTGCAAGCCAATCTCTTGCCCTTAGGCACTCAGCCTTATTCAGTCCATGGGCCTGAAGCCCTCAACTGCTCTGGCTCTCCATGCCACCACCTCTGCCTTCACCTCTGCTGTTGTCATTTTACTAGGTAGGGATCTCATGCTCCACTCATGCTCTTCCTTCTTGATGGTCCTGGGATCTGCCATCTCTGATTCTGAAATGGCTCTTTTTAAACCGAGCTGGATGGCAAAACTAACCAATCCCAGCCTTAGAGTCCTATACACCTTTATTTAAATGGTCCCACTCAGTCACTTAATGGGAATCAAGAAAATATCGGATACAAAAGCCATATCAAGTAAACCCCTTGTGTTGGAA